TCATTTAATTTTAAATGTGATATTAAGGGACAGAAAACTAGAGATAGAGCGGCGAACAACAAAAATATGAGTCACTATCATAACTATAATCATAAACTTTAAAATTACTCTTTACCTGTATAAGTTTAATGAAGGAAGTTCGTAAGAAAACAGAATGTTGGCTGATGCAGTGAGTTCTGTAATGCTTTATACTAATTTATCATAGTTGCTCATCAATAGTACCCAAAGTGACTCAACTGGAAGCGCGAGTAAATCTTAATCAAAGAAACTACCTTCTTCATTGATTATGCATACACGTATTTTAGTGCATGACAAGAAGGAGTCCAGTGGCCCTCTCACTCAGATCATGAACAAAGGCGCTACGACTAAATCTACTAGACTTATTATATTTCCAGCATGAGCTGAAAATGCTGAAGAGAAACTATAGAAAGGAACAGATAATATATGCAGCATTCACCAGAGCATAAGTATAGCTTTTTATGCTGATCATAAATCCGATATGCGTTTTTATCTTTAAGACCTCATTTTATAGATCTCTAGAAATCGTTATCTACAACCATATCACCAACTTCCATTTGAAGGAATTCTGATATAGCAATCAGTTTGTAGAGTATGTTGAGTTCTGCACGTACAAAAGTTTTTGAGTATTAACCAACTGGCTTTTATTGCGATATAAGACTTTTTATTGTTAGTATAAACACTGAGGGATTTAATATTTTCAAAAAAGCAGTAAATATCCAAGCAAAACTGAGTAAGCGAGAAAATCTAGCTGCAAAAATAGCTGCAGCGCCCATTTACAGCTAGATTAACTAGATTAAAAGGTACATTTATCTAGCTACATGCTGATTGAAATCGTGTACTAGCTGAAACGGCATTGACCAATTAATAGCGCAAGGAATTGCCCGATTAATCGATAGCAACTAGTTGTATCCAGTTGAAGCTAGATTCAGTCTAGCTGAAGCTATATCAAATTTTCATGTATTTCACTGCATCTAGCAACTGAAGCTAAATAAATGTACCTTTTAATCTAGATGCAGCGCCCGCTTCATGATTTTTTTTCGTGCTTGGGTAGTAACAAATAGTAATCTGTTGAGGAAAGGCCTAAAAGTAAAACCACACATCAGATCTATGATCAGCATCAAAATTAAACTTAATCGAGTAGGATTCAAGAAGAAAATTACACACTTGGAGTAGTTTGCTCGTTAGATAAAAAAGAACAAATACGATTCACAATCATCGCTGTAATTATGAATTTGAAAAATATGTTTATACCTGTATAAATGTAATCGTCTGGGCGAAGGTCGCCAGTAAACAGTAACGTAACAAAATATTAACTTTGTGTGTGCTAGACTATTGGTGTGCCACATTCTTATCCTTGAGGGCCATGATATCAAAAGAAACAATGCGTAAACATATGCTTTTCGATCTTGTGAATTATAAATGAGTTGATTGCAAGTATGTGAGGATAAAGTTGTATTTTATACTTTTCGAAAAAAAATTAGTGTTATAATAAGATTATTAGCAACTGGAAAGTGGACAAAATCAAGATTAGAGAGTCAAAGGTTAGAAGTTTTGATTAGATGCTGATCAGTACACACGTTATAAGAAATTCTAAAAGTACCGCTTTACATTTTGGCATTATACCTTTTCTGAAATCTGAACATAACTCTACAACTTTTCTCATAACCACATTACATCATAGTGAGAAAAATGTATATCACAACTTCAAACCTTGCTTCTAGAACAGTAATGTCAGATATCGCTTTAGCGGAATAAACTAACATTTGTTCGGCTGTCATCATGAGTTTGTGTACTGTTCATCTTCTATGAGAAGCTTTATTATCGTCATAAGGTGTACCTGTAGTATAATGCGAAATTTGTACAGATCTATAACATGTTTTTCCGGATGTATTTGATTCATATACGGTAACTATTCGATAGTTCAGAAATATTGAAATGATTTTCTTTTGGATGAGTGGCATAGAAATAAAGAAAGTACAGAAAATAGTTTCTTCATAAGCATGATGCATAATTGTGGGACTGTCCTTTTTTGTCTTTGGTCTTCCGGACATCCGACCAAATGACGGGATGCTCGGAATCGCGTCTTTATAGCATAAAATCGTTTTTTCGGATGTTCGGAATGAAAATTACGGATGTTCGTAACAGAAAACGATCGGAGGTTCATAACAAAACGTGAGGAATTCTTACGAACATCTAGACATTTTCGTATACAAAAACACTGAAAAATGTCGGCACATGCCGTTCCGTACACCCAGACGACTTTCATTCCCAACATCATGAGTTTTTTTGGTTATCATTCTGAGCATCCGATCTTTTTTCATTCTGAACATCCGGACTTTTTCAATAAAACGGGAGCTCGGAACGGACTACTCTGTCGGATGTTCATAAGAAAAAGCAAGGACGAAAAGAGAATTACGGCCATAATTATCGCTTACTAAAGTACTGGCATAGCTGCAAACTTAATCTTGTCGATTCCAAGTGCCAGCCTACTCTAACTGGTATGTATCCAAAAAATCTTTTGTTTCCGGCGCTTATCTTTTCATTTGAAAATTTAATTCATCTAGTAGAAAAAACATTGTTGTCTGAAATACGTTTAGCGTTTCTAAGGTGCCGACAATTCGAAAAGTCATCAGATTTTTATTTTTGCACTTTTTTTATACATGGTTGGATAGAGTTCGTTGAGCTGATTCAGAAAATATATGTTTTAATGTTTGAAAAAATTATTTGTATGTGCAAAAATTGAAAATCAGCAGGGTCTAAATTTTCGAAAAACGCTTCGGTGTCAAAAATATTCGGGAGAGATCAACTTGATCAAAACATAAAATGGTCGAACAGGAGGTCACGTTTCATCGAATTCCTAGCATTACGAAAGCCCGATAAAAAGCAAGGCTTTTGTAACACGGTAAAAAGACATCAATTAAAAAAAACAAGGCTTTCGTAAAGATAATGCAAAGAGATTAATGTCTAAGTAGATGCTCTGACAGGACTTGCGTAACACTCTTTAACGGGGCTTTCGTAACGAAATGTATAGGTACTTTTCGAGTTGAAATGATGTGTGATTACTGTCTACTAACAGGGCTTTCGTAGCGAAGAGTATATGACGTGGGAAAGCCTAAGCAGACACAGAGAGACAGTTCTACGCTCATCTCTGTTAATAAGAAGTAGCATTCGTTGCGAAAACCGTGTAATATATTTCAATTTATCTGTGGTTATAGTCAAAACCATGATTCATTGTCGATTTTAATGAAAAACTATTCGTCTTTCTTTGTGATCCAAAGAAAATGATGTTGTGATTGTCTACAGAGCAGTTTGACACTTTTATACTTATTTTTCTACTTTTATTGTTTTATTAGTTTGACCTATCTAGCAGAAATAAAAGGCAGAGATGGTCTTGCGGTAGTTCGAATTCAGTTACTACAGATTTGCAAACTCAAATATGTATGGAAAAAGTTGTTAGCTATAGTCGATTATTCGTAAGTAATCGGCTGATTAATTGTGATTAATTGAAGATTTTTGTGGATTTTCACTACATAGGAAGGCTGTACTAGAGGAAACTAATTTATCATAGTTGCTCGTCAATAGCACTTCAGAGTGACTGTGAGGCGACTCAACTGGATGCACGAGTAAATTTTAATCAAAGAAACCACCTTCTTCATTGATTTTACATCAGAGAACATCGCAGGGTAACTTTTTTCGCCCTGCCTTGCCCTGCTATGTCTGGCTGGACAGGACGCTCTGCAGTGCAAAAGAAAGCTTTTCTCCTTAACCTAGAAAACTTTATCTTCAAGAAACTCATCACAAATACTGGATGCGTTTCGCGTGCGTAACAGAACCTTTTTTTTATTAATTATCAATTTTAGAAAACCTGGCTGTCATTTTTAATTTTTATACGAAAGATCTCAAAATTTTATTGGAAAAGAAGCTTGAAAATCTCGAAAACCAATCTCTCGAAGGACAAATCAAGTAATTTTTTGTTGCCCTGTCGTGCAACAGGGAAGGGTAAAAAGATATATCGCCCTGCCCAGTAGGCTACTTTTAACTACTTTTATCTTGTAGACCCTAGTGAGTAGTGAAATACCCTAAGTTGGTTCGTGCCCTTATTGCTTTGGGAGGGAGTTATGACCAATTTACTGGTTTTTCGACCTATGACATCATCTGAGTAGCAGTAGTAAATGGGTGACTTTGGATCTGAAATTTTATCCATAAAGAGGTCTTATGAACACTAGCATATCCTGAAAGTTTCACTCAAAACAAATGCACATTTCCTGAGATAATGGATTTTCACAAAACAGCGATTTCGCGCACGAAATTAAAATTTATCATGGAAAACAGTCGTTTTTAGAAATTCATCATCTCAGAACGTATGCATTCATAACATCCGGAAATCGCCATCGCCGCGGATCTGGTGTTCAAGTGTTAACACTTTACCACTTTAACATATACGAACTCGCGGCGAGTGAGGGTGAGGGTGGAGAAGTGAGAGTGAAGTGGGTGAAGAAGTGCTCCACCCTCATCCTCAATTATGCACGTTTACACTTTAACACATTAACACTTTAATACTTTAACATATAAGAATCCGCGGGGACGGCGATCTCCGGATGATGCCCAAAGTCACCCATTTACTACTGCTACTCAGATGATGCCATAGGTCAAAGAATCAGTAAATTGGTCATAACTCCCTCCCAAAGCAATAAGGGCACGAATCAACTTAGGGTATTTCACTACTCATTAGGGTCTACAAGATAAATAGTCCGAGTCCAAAAGCTTTTTATCACCTCGAGAGGGTTCCTCGTCAGATCATGAACAAAGGCGCTACGACTAAATCTACTAGACTTATTATATTTCTGGCGTGAGCTTATAATATAATCTTGAGTGCTGTTTTGTCTGTTTTGGTACTGTTTTGTCAAGCAAACTAAGATAATTAGATATTGGTATTCTATCTTTTGATATTTACTTTCTTTTCCGATAACATCAGAAGAATGTCTGTTGAACAAAGCGAAACATCATTACCATTGCAATTATTTACATTCGATACCTGGGAAGGTTTTACACGTCAACGTTTACAAATAAACTATGAGAATACATTAGCATTGTGGTATAGTTTACCTCCTGGACTACCACTAGGCAAACAGAACGTCAAATATTATACAAGAACACAGCAACGAAATAGACTGCGAAAATTAAAGTTGTATGCATTTTACTGTACATTGCTGAATCGATCATTTCTCAAGAAAAAAGTTAGAGCGAGAGGTAAGTGTGCTTACTTTTAAACCGTGCCTCTACAGCATTTAATGATGATATTTTTAACTCTTTCAGGCTTTAAACTATGGAATTCAACGTTAAATGTACCAGATACCCAGGATGACTCGTTGTACAGCATCTATGCAAAACTCGGCGGTATCACAGAACAGTTTATGGCCAAAGGCGAACAATATGATTCAACAATAAACTACGAGGAATTATTTAAAGCCGGACGGACCGTATGGTTTATGATTGCGTTTCAAATTCAAATGAATATCAAAATGACACTAACGGACTCTATTTTCGGTTATAATATGCTTTATCCGTACACCGACGATTTAGTCGATTCAAATGATATTACAAACGAGAGTAAAAAAGACTTCGCTAAAGTGTTTTTTGAGCGTTTATTATATGGTGATATCGATCAACCAAAAGATGCTGATCCTCCAAAATTTTTGGGCGATAGAACGCCGGCTGACTCTCGTTTACCATCGAGCTTAACGGCACATGCTGATCGTGTGGGTAAAATATTCGATATGGTTAAATTTATTGAAAATGATTGGTCACGTTTAAAATACAAAGAAGTGTATTATGGTTTAGCCACAATTCATGAATGCCAGATGAAATCAACATTACAACATGCTACTGATGATTATATACCACAATTGAAAACAATTGAAGAGATAAGCGCACAAAAAGGAGGTGCATCATTAATAGCAGCCGGATTTCTAATTGAAGGCACATTAACTTATGAAAAAATGGCTCATTTAGAATATTTGGGATTTGGATTACAGTTATTGGATGATTTGCAAGTAAGGAAACGACAACACCTAGAGTGCACTTTGTCTTAAACATATTTGAGATGACTCATATTATGAAATGTATAGTAAGTTTTATGCGTGAGAAACACTTTATTTAAGACAAGCTGTATGTAATATCGTGTTCAAAGCAGTGAGTGAGAACAGTGATAGAGATGTCCTACTTCTCAAATATATACCAAAGTTTAATAACCATCTTGGTTCAATCGTTTGATCTCATTTGGAGTAAAATGAGCCATAATTTTCTGTTCTTTGTTAACAGGATGTTCAAGAAGATTTAAAGAACAATCACCGCACAATATTCACACAAGCCATATGTGACCACCAATCGTTAGATATTCCAACTGGTAAACTAATCCAGTATTACTTTTGCAGTCGTGCTGGCGATAAATTTGAAGAAGATAAATTGATAAATCAATCAGCAAATGCGACAAACACCGTTACATTAGCCCAATATGTGCGAATATCCATGGTGAATTTTTCACTGTTACTCATACTAGAAGCCGCATCAAAACTTGAACAATATTATTCAAAACAATTTTATCATGATCTAAATACGCTGTCACCATTATCATTGAAAGATTTAGCAGTAGCGAGAATCGAAGATAGAATATTTAATATTGTTCGACACCAGTGGTTTTGAGAATGAAGAGTGGATGAAAAAATTATATCTCTTCCGACTGTGATAATCTCGAGCCTAATAAAAATCCGTCTAGTACTTTTTTTCTATTTTGTTGTAAAGTGTTACGCAAAATTATATTTTTATATTTTCTGTTTTTCCACACGATAATGTTGATGAGTAAAAACAACTGATAATAAAGCGATAATAATCACCAACATTCTCTTCTCAAAAGATGCTATTTATTTATTTGAAGTAAATTCTTTTGTTTAAGCCTGGAATCATTGATTCATGTGGTCAACGGTTTTATATATCTGATTTGTTGAGAAAGTCTCGGTATATGTCTGAGTGAATCGTAGAGTAACGTTAGTTATTATCATATCCTTGTGATTCATGCACAGACGATTGCATTCAGCCTACACCTGTCTTTATCGGTATACTTATCTCTTTTTCTCAATCAGGTTGACCGAACAGTACAAACTACCAAAGCTTTTATCTTTCTCATTCTTCCACAATCGATTTTCGACGAAAAGCCCTAAACCAGTGTTAACCGATACTGATATCGGTGGGAGGACGTTTAGCAAACATTTTTTATCTTGGTACTGCTTGGATAAGATGGAAATTGCTGTTATACCGACCGCATTTTGTAGAAAAATGTTTGCTTTACAAAACTAAGCCGTTAAAAACTTTAGAAAATCATTCTGCGCTAAGAAAATTATTTTATGAAGAAAACGGAAAATTGCAACGGGTAATAACCGGTGCATGCCTAATTCAGGCATAGAAGTCATTTATACTTTGTAAATGATCTTTGTCTCAAAAAGTTTTCATTTTGATAAACCAGTTTAGACTAAAATACGATAATACAGTTCCAAACAACAGGACCATCTTCGATGAACAGTCTCAGATATGTCTTGTTTAGACATCTCGTCAGCCAAACGGGAAGATGTCCTATGTGAAAGAGAATTATTTTTTCTCCTCATATGGCCAAAATAACCTCGTGAGAAGGGTAAAACTAAAGCTTTAAAGTATAAAAATCAGATTACCTATGTAAAAAAAGGGTTATCACTAAGTTCTGGTTAACCCCTGAAGGTGTTAATTTTCGAATAATTACAGGTGGCGCCACTATAATGGCGTAACTTGTAATTACCTTTCACATAAATTGCATCAGGGGTCAACCAAAACTTTGTGATAACCCTTTTTTTATATAGGCAATCTGATTTTTATACTTTAAAGCTTTAGTTTTATCCTTCTCACGAGACCATTTTAGCCGTAAGTTATAAGTTTTAGAACTTCGTCGTAGTGAATGTACTCAAGTGTGAATACTCAAAGTCGTACTCTGCTGAAAAATGTCCCAAGTACTCATGAGTACTGATGCATTTTTTTACTCATTGAGTACTCACATGAGTACTCATGAGTGAGTAACGAGTACTGTCGGTACGACTTTGAGTACTCATGCTTGGGTATTGTTGAGAGTAACTGAGTACTCACTGAGTAACAATACTCAGAAATTGTTAGTAGACCTAATATGAGTACTCGTGGACGAATTATGAGTAAAGTCGTGCTCATTGTGTGAGCACTTTCATTAGGGTCGCTTATGAGGAACTATCACTTTTATTTGTCATTGTTATTTATAAACTTTTTATCTATATATTTAAAATGGCTAAATTTTTCAAAACTCTGTCTAATCTGATACTAATGGAAAACAAGTCCCATCTGTGAGTGAATTTGTTCGAACCCTGAGAATCTATCTATTCTATTTATTTTATTCTATAATAAGAGACGGCCCTATGACAAATTGAATTACTTTGGAATAAGTTATCATTTTCAGAGCTTTATAAGGCGTGGTTGATGGGCAGGTACGCTACTGTTTAAGTCGATGTGCCCATATCCTGCAGAAAGTTTATATCTGCACAAGATCTGTCAAGTTTCTTGATCTCAAAGAATGTTCAGCAATTCTTGACAAGATCTTGTCAAGTTTTTTTGAGGAATCTCCCTGCAAAAATCTTGATCAAGATCTTGACAAGATTTGAAAACTTTTCTGTAATTAACAAAATCTTTGCTAACAGAGAAAGTTAGCAATCATTTTGATTACGACATGACTCAAAGGTTCGACAAAAATGTAAATATGCCAACTTTGCATTTATTTATAGTTATTGTAGCACTACAGTGTAGAGGCTAAAATTCTGTTGGTCGAGAGATTATACAAATAAATGTGTTGTTCTTTCAATCACCGTTTTGTTTGATGTTGTTGTTGCATATATAAGAATAAATACTTGCACAGAACACTGAAAATTTTGAAAGTGAAACTCAAACATTGTGTTTGAATGTATGGTTCCTGATGCACTTTCAACAGCTCTGGTACTGTATGCATAGTACCGTAGAGCTTACACTGTAGTGATACAGTAGAAAAAAATAAAAATATAAAGTAGAAAATAAAGTTTAAGATTTTCTTTCAAATTCCCAAATCTGTTAACGAAGATTCTGATTATTGCGTATTAAATTAATCATTTCAGAATTCTTGAAATATCTTGACAAGATCTGCTCAAGATTTATCATCACAGATTTTGATACAACACTTGTGGAAAATCTGCAGCATTGCCTTCCATTCAGAATCTTGACAAATTTCGATAAATCTGCACAAGTTCTTGAAAGATCTGGGGCAAAACTTGAGAAATGTTTAAAGATTTATCAAGATCTACATTCAAGATTTTTCTCCTGGGGTGACGGATTTTCCGCCACAACCTCTTCACCTAGATGATTCATCCTCTAGATCGATCATCTTATGCTCTCTCTTTTATGTTTAGTGTCTAGTGCTTTATTCTTTTCTTGTAGTACAGTTATGTATCGGTGTGTTTCTTTTTTTTCTTTTTCTGCTGTTCTTTTATTATATAGTAGATATATAAATCAGTTTCAGTCGGTGTAACGATGGAAGGTTTTACATGGGTTGATCGAAGCATGCAAATTTACATTGAAGAATGTATAGAGAATTTAAATTGGCCTTATAAGTAGAAGAATAAATAACTGATGTATAAATAAAATAAATACGGTAAATACAATTTTTGTACATTTGATCCAAAAGTAGAGTTTGAAAAGTGCGTTTATGTTGATATATTAGAAAAAAAAATCTCAGTACATCTGCTATGTACATATATAATGTACATAGCGGTTAGATGACAGTTTTCGAGCGGTTTATACAACATGGGTAGTAACCGTTTGTCACATATATTCAGTTCAACACTTAGAGAGAAAAATAAAGATTAAAAAAAGAGTGGTCTATGGATATGACTGCTATGATTGTGATGGAATGTATATTGGTCAGACTAGTTGAGGAATCTGTGAATCGTAAGTGAACGTGTCCAACAAAGGCTTTTCGAGAATTGCTTAACATTGGTTCAAGAAGGGCTAATAACAATTGGAACTCAAAAGTGTTGACGATTGAATCTAACGAGTAATAAAAGAGAGTTTATTAATGGACTTGTTAAAAAAGGAAAACACAAAAAAGAGAGTATAAGAGTATACGTCCAAAAACGATTTCAGTTAAACATTTTTTGACAATGATTGATTCATCATTCTTCAGTTGAAATAGAAATATTTTCTCCATTCTTCCCAAGTTTTCTGTATCTTCCAGGTGTGGCTACTGTATACCAACTTTTTTGCCAGGGCAACACGTGTTCTTTTTTCCAACAGAAAAAAATATATTCAACAACAGTTACAAAAATCAAATATGTCAAGTATTGCTGTTTCTTTTGTGATTTTCTTTTAACCGTTCATTCATGAAAAACACTTAAAACAATAAACAGTGAGACAAATCAAAACAAAAACATACTACATCTAATTGAATTCATGAATTTTTTGCTATATGTGTGTATTTTTTTGACTATGTACTGCTTTTAATAGATCTGGTTTAGATAGAATTAAATTAAAACTATTTACAATCAATATCAATCAAATATGTGACACACGTGAAAAAAGAAAAAAGCTTTATGACATCAGGTTAATCAACTGAATTCTTGTACGAATATGTACTTTTCAGAAAAAACTCCAGAAATCGAAAAAAAACAAAATTCCATCGGAAAAGAAGCTAAAAATTGGAAGAGTTGGCAATCCTGGTATCTTGTGTCTGCTCTATTTCTACTGATATTTATACACACATCTCATTTTGACTGATGAAGTTCTATAGTATAGAACGAAATGTGTCAAATAAATAAAGTTGTTATTTTACAAATGTGTTTAAAAAGGTGACTTTAATCCTACTATTTTTACTGAAAATTTTCACTTTACAAAGAAATTATTCAATCATTAGAAAGGAAAAATACTCGAATTTGTGCTAGTAATCAATTGGATATTATTTGTAACGTTTTAAATTGCCTGATATCATCAAAATTTGTTTTTTTTTTCATAGTCTAATTATATAGTACATATATTTTGAAGATTCTCAAACGGAAGCTTCAGGCACCTCCACGGATCGTAGAAAATCCCCGGTCTAACCATGACAGATAGAGATCGTTTTCTTTTGTGAATTTGTAGAGGACGCCATGCGCTATCATTTGTATATCTCACGAGGGAACCTCTCGAGATGATAAAACACTTTTTGATCGAAATCTAGTGGGTTATAGCTTATCGATCATGCTGATTCCGAATATGACCATGGGGCTTTCTCTTAGTCCTTCGAAGATCGGTTTTGTGGATTTCCACAAAACCGAT